ACGAAAGAAATGAGGACAAGGATTCCAAATGGGAGGGGCAGGGAGAACCAGGCATGGAAGGGTGTGCCACCTGGGAGCAGGTGTGGGAGTGGGCCGGGCAGATGCCCGAAGGGCAGTCCACGCTGAGCAGAGGGCAATGCAAAGTCCTGAGGCATGGAGATATCTGCAGGGCTCTGAAGACCAGCGAGGAGGCCGAGGGTGGGGTAGGTGCTGAGCAAGCCAGGGTGTAGATTGGAGGACAGCTGGCCAGACTGCACAGGACTCTAGGCATCTGTAGTGACTTGGTTTTACTGAGAGAAAAGGGGCACTTTTGGAGGGTTTGGAGCAGAGGAGGGACATGAGTAGCGAGGTTCTGAAGGATCACTCCAGCTGCTCTGTTGTCAGGAGCCGTTTGGGAGGTGGGGACAGGCACAGTGGACCAAGTAGGGCAGGACTGCAATCACCCTGGCCAGGAGGACGGTGGCCTAGAACCAGGGTCGGGTACTAGATGACAGTGTGGTCAAATCATAGATATTTTATTTCTAGTCCAAAGAAGAGATAGGAAAGAGGTCCTGCAAATAGGTGATTTTTTTTTAATTCTTCACAGCCTTACCACACAACCTCTAAACCTTCAGTAAAGTTGGCTACATTCACAAGTAGCTGGTGTCACTTTGGTGGGGGCTTTGTAAGGAAGTGGGCAGGGTGTCTTTTAAGGAAGACTCAGGAGAAGAGCTGGTCTTCCAGTTGCGGAGGGAATGAAGTTGCAGAAAGAAAACAGCAAGGTTGAGCGACACACAGTGGGAACAGGAGCTCAGCGGGCAGGAGCTCCAGGCCTCCAGAATGCAGGACGGTAGTGCCGTGTTCGCACAGAAACCAGGCAACAGAGGGCGCCAGCACCCACCAGACACGAGGTAGGGCCACTGTCACAGTCAGGCCAGGACCTGCAGAGCCCTAAACCCTGAAAAAAGGCGGGGCCCCCCACCTACATATTAAGGAAAACCTATGTGTGCCATTACATGCTGGTCTCCAACAACTGCTAAAATTACATTAAATCCTTTCTAGAATTTCGTGGCTGGGACTTGAGCCTGGTCTTGGTCTGTTTACTGATGACGAATCTAGTACTGAACTGGACCCAGTTCCTGACGAGGAGCCCTGTCCTAGAATCACTCACACGTGACAGTTGACAGGTGGCCCCACCAGGTTTGCATGCTGGGCGGGTGTTCTGCTAGACCGGCCTCTCCACGCCCAGGGACTGGACTGAACTGTTTTCTGCTCCTCAGAGAGTTTGCCCAGAGACTCTGAGGAAGAAAGCAGTCACCTCAGGCCTCTCCATCCTAGAGACGGCAGAAGGACAAACGTCTCCTGCTGGCACAAGGTAGTGGGGTGGAGGGTGGTCGGTGTTCCAAACACCAGTGCAGAGGGAACGTGTGCATGTTTGGGAGTGAAGGAGGAAAGCAGGGGCTCGGGTGGTGAGAGAACCAGGGGCAATGAAGTAAAAGTGGCGTTGGGGGAGCTGCTGGGGGTGTGGGGGCGGGGACGCTGGATAAGGCATGGAGGACAGGGGTGGCTCTGCGGGTCCTCTGCCTCCACACCAAACACTCAGGGATCCGTGCCTCCCGCCAGTCTGGAGTCCCAATCGCCCCTCTCTCCGATTTGGGGGACAGGGATTTCTCCTTGTTCTCCTGCCATAACGCCTTCCTTCCGACTTCTCTTGTCCCATTCTCCCTCAGATCATCCCCTCCACTTATGCCAAGGCTTCCACAGCCTCGCTCTGCCGGGCCTTGGCATTCCCAGCCTGGGTGTTGAAACCATTGGCCGGGATCTCAAGGCAGCTGGGCAGGGAGAGGATAGCTAGAAGCCCAGGACACACTGCCACAAAAAGGCTGTGACTCATTTTCAGGAATTAAAAAACGCAGTCCAATTCATTTTAAAACTTTTGTCTCTCTTGGGACTATAGGCTGAAAGTTCTTTATAGCAACGGGCTTCCAGGGACTACATGTAATTATTGGTTCCTCTTTCCTTATCATCTGCTTCTTATGTCAATTAAAACTCCACTTCAGTCGGGTGTGGTGGCTCACTCCTGTAATCCCAACACTTTGAGAGGCTAAGTAGGGAGGATTGCTTGAGCCCAGGAGTTTAAGATCAGCCAAGGCAATGTGATGAGACCCATCTCTACACCAAAAATTTAAAAATTAGCTGGGTGTGGGGGCTCACGCCTGTAGTCCCAGCTATTCTGGAGGCTGAAGTGGGAGGACTAATTGAGCCTGGGAGTTCAAGGCTGCAATGAGCTGTGCTCATGCCACTGCACTCCATCTGGGCAACAGAGCAAGACCTGGTCTCAAAAAAAAAAAAAATTCTACTTCATATGTAACCATCATTTCGGTTTGGAAGCCACTGCCTAAAGCTGACATTTTGCAGTTGGAATATGGCTATTCCTTCCCATCTTCAGGTTGGCTCAGGCCAACCTGGGATTCAGGACCACAGAGGACAACAAGGGTGGAAGGGCCCCTTTCTCCTTTCTGTGTGTCCTTCCCAGCCTGTCTGCAGCTCTTTCTTTGTCTTCAGTGTTGGGTCTACATCCCAGATGTCAGGACCCATGTACAGGCCTGGTGTGCTCCTTCCTGTGATCAGACTTGTAGAAAATATTGGCAAGGAGCTACTCCATGGTCATATCACACATGCACATGCACACACATGCACCCACACGCGTGCGTGCACACAGACACACACACACACCGACCTTGGCCCACCCCCGTTGGTGTCCCCACAGCAGCAACATTTGTAGGTCGGTAGCAGTGAATCCCCCTCCCTGCACTCTCAGGTCCTGGGTGTGTACAGAACAGGCTCCACTCAGGACAGATTTGAGACCCCTTCTCCAGACCAAGAGGCGGAAGTGCACCCTCAAAACTGGGGTGCTTTAACCTTAGCAACCAGAGAACCACATAGGGGATGTGTAAAAAATGTGCATCCCTGGGCCCCTTCAAACCCTTGACCCACTGTCCTCTGAGCAGACAACCCCTTATCCCCCCCAGCCCCAGAGAGAGCCCTGCCCAGAGTCCACGGTTAGTTTTTTTAAAGTCTGTTCCATCTAGTTAAGAAAGAACAGTGGTACAGACCCACTTACCAGGCATCACCAGAGTCCCAGCATCTGAGTCACAGGAAATCACCCTCTGAGTCTGACATGCACTTGAATTAACTGGCATACTGCCTGGCACACAGAGGGAATCTAGATGTGGAATGGATATGGGTGATGTTACACGCCACATGTTTGCCTGCCCTCCAAATTCATATGCAGAAATCCTAACTCTCAAAGTGATGACATTTAAGTCATTAGTCATGCAAGTGTAGCCCTGTGGGATTTAGAGGTGACAGGAGAGCTTGCTGTCATTCTCTGCTCCCCACTGTGTGAGGATACAACAGGAAGACAGCTGTCTGGTGAGGAAGAGAGGGCCGTCGCCAGATACCGGACCTGCTGACACCTTAATCTTGGATTTTCCAGCCTCCAGGACGGTGAGAAATAAATGCTTGGTGTTTCAGCCACCTGGCCTATTCTGTTGTGGCAGCCTGAACTGGCCAAGGTAGCGGAGTCTGATGATGAAATGGGAGAGGTGTAAAAGTGAGGTGGGAAGGAGGACTACAAATACTAACTTTTTAGAGGAAACCTTGTGCAAAAAGTGGCTTGAAAAGTTTGAAAATGACACAAAACTTTGTTCTAAGACAAATTTTCAGAATTCAAAACTGAGAGCCCCAAGACTTTTCCCAATGATAGACTTGACTTTCCTTGAGGTCTTAGCCCCAGTAGGATGGCTGGGCTCTGTTATAAAACCCATCTGTTATGGTAGACCAGTTGCTGCCTGTTCACAGCTAGTTTAATGAATATTGGGGTGTGCTTGGTAAGAGAAAATCTCAACCATTTAAGAGAAAAGAGTTTGAATGGGTTAGGGATATGGGAGAGGGGAGAAAGGAGATGGGAGAAAATACAGGAATGGGGAGAGGGTACCAGAAAGAAAGGGAACAGCAAAAGAGGCAAGGAAGAGAAGGGAAGAGGAAATTGGAGGAAGGGAGAAGGAGCTCACATAACCTCCAACCATCCTGCTCACACCAGAGGGGTTTTTTGCAGGGGCCATGGGGATGGCAGAGGAGAGTTTATTCAAAGTTAATTTTGTTTTTAAATGTCTTCTTTCAGTTTTCAATAAGCAATTATATTCTGAATACTTGGAAAACACTCCCTTCACAAAATTGTTCTTTAATTGGGTCTCTACAGGCCTGCCCTCAGTTGTTCCAGGGTAAAGAATTTGGGCAGTGCCCACACCCATGCTGTTGGACATTTCTTCACCATACCAGTGAGGGTGTTTGTGTCCACGCCCAACGTCCTGCCTGTTACTCTCCACAATGTGCCAAGAATGCCCCTGACTTGTAGCCCTGTGCGCCTTCTTTTGCTTCTACTGTTGCTACTAACAGCCTTGGAGATCATGGTTGGTGAGTGTCCTGAGATCTCAAGACCTGGCTGAGAACAAGAAGGAGGAGGGAGAAAGGTGGGGGATAGGCGACTGGGGTCTCATGCAGGCTTCAAGCAAGCGGGTACCTGCTCTTAATGATGAGGTGAGGGAGAGGAACCCTGGGATGTTACCCCCAGTTAATGGGAGACCCCAGCCGGAGGCCCTAGGCCAGGCACGGGCTCACATGTGGCAGTTCTATAATGCTACCCCCCACCTTCTACTCCAGGACTCTTTCCTGAATGCCCGGGACCCCGGAGGAATTCAGCGTGTGTCCCGTGATGAATGCCTCTTTTTCCTTTCTATTGAATGTCCTGTGTGTTCAGCTAGATTTTAAGTCTCAGGAGGTCACACAGAGGTTTGTCTGTTTTGTGCCTCGGAACTTGGTAGATGTTGCTAAAAATATTTGTGACATGAATCCTCCTGTTAACACCATTAGCACTAAGTACACCCCAGGGGTCCCCGGTACCATCAAGTATCTCACCCCAGACAGTCAGGGGGAGATGGGAGCAGGGATCCGGAAGGTTGAGGGAGTCTGGGATGGAACCGCCCCCCTCTGCCAGCCTGGCCTGGTCCAGGGAGTCTTGGGTCACAGACGCGCAGGTTCTAATGGGCCTCTTCCCCTGTCCTGGACCTCACCTGCATCTTTCTCTCACAGGTGCTCACTCTCTTTGCTTCAACTTCACTATAAAATCATGGTCCAGACCTGGACAGCCCTGGTGTGAAGCACAGGTCTTCATGAATAAAAATCTTTTCCTTCAGTACGACAGTGACAGCAACATGGTCAAGCCTCTGGGCCTCCTGGGGAAGAAGGTAAATGCCACAAGCACATGGGGAGAATTGACCCAAACGCTGGGAGAAGTGGGCCGAGACCTCAGGATGCTCCTTCTTGATGTCAAACCCCAGATAAAGACCAGTGGTAAGTGTGGAATGGGGTGGGGAAACGGAGGCAGGCAGCAAGAGAGGGGAGGGAAGAGCACAGGTGGGGAGGGGCTTTAGGTGTATTTGTGTATTGATCATTGGCCCAACCATAGAGACACATGGGACCCAACGGGCGGGAAAGGGCAAGTCCAGGTAGAAAGAATACAGGCCCCTAAATATGCAGAGAAACACTTGACCTGTTGGAAGATGATGGACCTCTCAAGAGTGGAGGATGACAGCTTTGTGCCTGGATTGCAGGTCCTTCCACTCTGCAGGTCGAGATGCTTTGTCAGCGTGAAGCAGAACGATGCACTGGTGCGTCCTGGCAGTTCACCATCAATGGAGAGAAATGCCTCCTCTTTGACGCAATGAACATGACCTGGACAGTAATTAATCATGAAGCCAGTAAGATCAAGGAGACATGGAAGAAAGACAGAGGGCTGGAAAAGTATTTCAGGAAGCTCTCAATGGGAGACTGCAATCACTGGCTCAGGGAATTCTTAGGGCACCAGGAGGCGATGCCAGAACCGACAGGTAACTGAGCCGGGAGGGAGAATGAGGCAGCTCTCTTTAAAGGTCAAAAGCCTTCCCTGTGTGGGTGTCAGCATGTGTGCAATAGAAAATTTGATTGACTTCTCTGTGGGCTTCTTCACTGGAGAGTCAGTGACGGCCATGAGGATTTCCCACCATCCTCCCTTTCCCATCCCACCTCCCACTGTTTCTTCCTCAGTATAGAAACCCCTTCCCATTAACTAATGATCCAGTCACCAATGACCCACCACTAAATGGTCCCAAGTCTATCTGCGCCATTGCAAACATCCAGGCCTTCTCTTCCTCTATTATAATTACCCTTCCACCAACTTTAATGACACTTCTTAGGAAATTCCCCACACAGAATTGAGCAAGACCCATTGTGTCATCCTCCAAACAGTTCTAACCACAGTAATCATCTGAAATTATGTGGTAATCAGATGGACATTTGCTACCTCTCTCAGCAGATATCTGAGCTCCATAAGGACAAGGCACAACACCATTCATCTTCATGGCCCAGGGTCTGGTAGAGTGGCTGTCACATGAGCCAGTGATTATGTGGGGCACCATGTGTTCCTGGGGAAAGCAGGGGCTGAGGAAAGCGTATTTTTAGGTGTCACAGGGCTTGTGCTTTGTTTTTGTTGTTGTTTAGTGTCACCAGTAAATGCTTCAGATATCCATGGATCTTCCTCTAGCCTACCAGATACATGGCTCATCCTGGGGGCATTCATCTTGACAGTCTTAATGGGAAATTTTCTCATCTACGTCATGTAGGGAAAAGAAAGAGAGATCAGACTGCTATCGTGTCTATGTAGAAAGGGAAAACATAAGAAACTCCATTTTGACCTTTACCCTGAACAACTGCTTTGCCCTGAGATGCTGTTAATCTGTAACTTTGCCCCAACCTTGAGCTCACAGAAACCTGTGTTGTATGGAATCAAGGTTTAAGGGATCTAGGGCTGTGCCTTGTTAACAAAATGTTTACAGGCAGTATGCTTGGTAAAAGTCATCGCCATTCTCCAGTCTGGATAAACCAGGGGCACAATGCACTGTGAAAAGCCGCAGGGACCTCTGCCCTGGAAAGCCAGGTATCGCCCAAGGTTTCTCCCCATGTGATAGCCTGAGATATGGCTTCATGGGATGGGAAAGACCTGACCGTCCCCCAGTCCGACACCCATGAAGGGTCTGTGTGAGGAGGATTAGTAAAAGAGGAAAGCCTCTTGCAGTTGAGATAGAGGAAGGCCACTGTCTCCTGCCTGACCCTGGGAATGGAATGTCTCAGTATAAAACCCGATTGTACATTTGTTCTATTCTGAGATAGGAGAAAAACCACCCTATGGCAGGAAGTGAGACATGTTGGCAGCAATGCTGCTTTGTTATGCTTTACTCCACTGAGATGTCTGGGTGGAGAGAAGCATAAATCTGGCCTATGTGCACATCTAAACATAGTACCTTCCCTTGAACTTATTTGTGACACAGATTCCTTTGCTCACATGTTTCCTTGCTGACCTTCTCCCCACTATCACCCTGTTCTCCTTCCGCATTCCTCTTGCTGAGAGTGAAAATACTAATCAATAAATACTGAGGGAACTCAGAGACTGGTGCTGGTGCAGGTCCTCTGTATGCTGAGCGCCGGTCCCCTGGGCCCACTGTTGTTTCTCTATTCTTTGTCTCTGTGTCTTTTTTCTTTTCTCAGTCTCTTGTCCCACCTGACAAGATATACCCACAGGTGTGGAGGGGCTGGTCCCCTTCATCTGCCGCCCAATGTGGGTGCCTTTCTCTAGGGTGGAGATACGCTAAGAATGTGAGCATTGAGGACAGTCGACGAGATTCCCGAGTACATCCACGGTCAGGTCAGCCTTGCGGCAAGCTTGTGCGCTAGGAGGAACCCGGGGTAACAATGGGACAAACTGAAAGTAAATATGCTTCTTATCTCAGCGTCATTAAAATTCTTTTAAGAAAAGGGGAAGTTAAAGCTTCTACAGAAAATCTAATTACACTATTTCCAAAAATAGGACAATTCTGCCCATAGTTTCCAGAACAGAGAACTTTAGATCCAACAGATTGGGAAAAAATTGGCAAAGAATTAAAACAAGCAAGTAGGGAAGGTAAAATCATCCCACTTACAGTATGGAATGATTGGGCCATTATTAAAGCAAATTTAGAACCGTTTCAAATAGAAGAAGATAGTGTTTCAGTTTCTGATGCCTCTGAAAGCTGTGTAATAGATTCTGAAGAAGAGGCAGGGATAGAATCCCAGAAAGGAATGGAAAGTTCACACTATAAAAATGTAGCAGAGTCTGTAATGGCTCGGTCAACGCAAAATGTTGACTATAATCAATTACAGGAGTTAATATATCCTGAATCATCAAAACTGGGTGAAGGAAGTCCAGAATTACTGGGGCCATCAGAGCCTAAACCACAATGGCCATCAACTCCTCCTCCCGCGGTTCAGATGCCTGTAACGTTACAACCTCAAATGCAAGTTAGACAAGTGCAAACCCCAAGAGAATATCAGTAGAAAAGGATAGAGTCTTTATCTCTAATTCTATCTAAAGGATAGAATCCGGCAATGCCGATTCAGATACAGTATCCACAATATCAGCTGGTAGAAAATAAGACCTAACCACCAGTAGTTTATCCATACCAGCTGCCAGCCGAGTTTCAGTATTGGTCGCCTCCAGAGATTCAGTACAGACCTCAAGCAGTGTGTCCCGTGCCAATAGCATGGCACCATGCCAGCAATCCACGGCAGTGGTGTTTAATCCTACATCACCACCTAGTGGACAAGGTGGTACACTGCATGAAATCATTGATAAAGCCAGAAAACGCAGATCTTGAGGCATGGCAGATCCCGGTAATTTTACAACCGATACGGATACAGGCCCGGGAAAGGGAGTCAAGCAGGAGCATCTGTCCGAACTGAAGCTAGATATGGATCTTTCACCATGAAAATGTTAAAAGGTATGAAGGATGGAGTTAAACAATATGAACCCAACTCCCCTTATATGATAACATTATTAGATTCCCTTCCTCATGGAAATAGACTTATTCCTTATGATTGGGAAAATTTGGCTAAATCTTCCCTTTCACCCTCTCAGTTTCTACAGTTTGAAACCTCGTGGACTGATGGAGTACAAGAACAGGTACAAAAAAATCAGGCTACTTATCCTGCTGTTAATATAGATGCAGACCAATTGCTAGGAACAGGTCCAAATTGGAGCACCATTAACCAACAATCAGTGATGCAGAATGAGGCTATTGAATAACTAAGGGCTATTTGCCTCGGGGCCTGGGGAAAAATTCAGGACCCAGGAAGCACCTACCTTTCTTTTAGTTCAATTAGACAAGGCTCTAAAGAGCCATATCCAGACTTTGTGGCAAGGTTGCAAGATGCCACTCAAAAATCTATTACAGAAGATAACGCCTGAAAAGTGATTGTGGAAATAATGGCCTATGAAAATGCAAATCCAGAATGTCAATTGGCCATAAAGCCATTAAAAGGAAAAGTTCCAGCAGGAGTTGATGTAATTACAGAATATGTGAAGGTTTGTGATGGGATTGGAGGAGCTATGCATAAGGCAATGCTAATGGCTCAAGTAATGCTTTAGGAGGACAAGTTAGAACACTTAGGGGAAAATGTTATAATTGTGGTCAAATCAGTCATCTAAAAAAGAATTGCGCAGTCTTAAATAAACAGAGTAAAAATAAAGAGCCACCCGGCCTGTGTCCAAGATGTGGAAAAGGAAAACATTGGGCTAATCAATGTCATTCTAAATTTGATAAAAATGGGCAACCATTGTTGGGAAACGGGAAGAGGGGCCAGCCTCAGGCGCCGCGGTCCCGCAACAAACTGGGGCATTCCCAATTCAGCCGTTTGTTCCTCCGGGTTTTCAGGGACAGCAACCCCCACAGGAAATACCACCACTTCAGGGAGTCAGCCAATTACAACAATACAGCAGCTGTCCCCCACTGCAGCAGGCAGCGCAGCAGATCTATGTTCCACTCAAATAGTTTCTTTACTTCCTGGAGAGCCCCTGCAAAAGATTCCTACAAGGGTATAAGGCCCGCTGCCAGAAGGGACGGTAGGCCTTATTTTAGGGAGATCAAGTCTAAATTCGAAGGGAGTCCAAATTCATACTGGGGTAATTGATTCAGATTACAAAGGAGAAATTCAGTTAGTGATCAGCTGTTCCCCGGAGTGCCAATCCAGGAGATAGAATTGCTCACTTACTGCTTTTGCCTTATATTAAAATTGGAGAAAACAAACCAGAAAGAACAGGAGGGTCTGGAAGTACCAACCCTGCTGGAAAAGCCGCTTATTGGGCTAGTCAGGTCTCAGAGAACAGACCTGTGCGTACAGTCACTATTCAGGGAAAGCAGTTTGAAGGAGTAGTGGATACCAGGGCTGATGTTTCTATCATCACCTTTAATCAATGGCCAAAAAATTGGCCTAAACAAAAGCCTGTTACAGGATTTGTCAGTGTGGGCACCGCCTCAGAAGTGTATCAAAGTGCCATGATTTTACATTGTCTAGGACCTCATAATCAAGAGAGTACAGTTCAACCTGTGATCACTTCTATTCCAATTAATTTATGGGGCCGAGACGTGTTACAACAATGGCACACAGAGATTACTATCTCAGCCTCCCTATACAGCCCCACGAGTCAAAAAGTCATGACTAAAATGGGATATCTCCCTGGCAAAGGACTAGGGAAGAATGGAGATGGCATTAAAGTCCCAATTGAGGCTGAGGGAAATCAAGAAAGAAAAGGAGTAGGGTATCCTTTTTAGGAGTGGCCACTGTAGAGCCTCCAAAACCCATTCCATTAACTTGGAAAACAGAAAAACCTGTATGGGTAAATCAGTGGTTGCTACCAAAACAAAAGCTGGAGGCTTTACACTTATTGGCAAAGGAACAATTAGAAAAGGGACATACTGAGCCTTCATTTTCGCCTTGGAAGTCTCCTGTGTTTGCAATTCAGAAAAATTCCAGCAGACGGCGCATGCTGACCGACTTAAGAGCTGTTAATGCCATAATTCAACCCATGGAGGCTCTCTAAGCGGGATTGCCCTCTCCGGCCATGATCCCCAAAGACTGGCCTTTCATTATTACTGATCTGAAGGATTGCTTTTTTACCATTCCTCTGGAAAAACAGGATTTTGAAAAATTTGTTTTTACTATATTAGCTATAAATAATAAAGGACCAGCCACCAGGTGTCAGTGGAAAGTGTTGCCTCAGGGAATGCTAAATAGTCCGACTATTTGTCAGAGTTTTGTAGCTCAAGCTCTTCAACCAGTTAGAGACAAGTGTTCAGACTGTCATATCATTCATTATGTTGATGATATTCCGTGTGCTGCAGAAACGAGAGACAAATTAATTGACCGTTACACATTTCTGCAGACAGAGGTGGCAAATGCAGGACTGACGATAACATCTGATAAGATTCAAACCTCTGCTCCTTTCCATTACTTGGGAATACAGGTAGAGGAAAGGAAAATTAAACCACAAAAAATAATATAAGAAAAGACACATTAAAAACATTAAATAACTTTCAAAAATTGCTAAGAGATATTAATTGGATTTGGTCAACTCTACGCATCCCTACTTATGCCATGTCAACTTTGTTCTCTATCTTGGGAGGGGGGTCCAGAATTGAATAGCAAAAGAGCATTAACTCCAGAGGCAACTAAAGAAATTGAATTCGTTGAAGAAAAAATTCGGTCAGCAGAAGTAAATAGAATAGATCACTTAGCCCCCCTCCAACTTTTGATTTTTGCTACTGCACATTCTCCAACAGGCATTATTGTCTTGTGGAGTGATCCTTCCTCACAGTACGATTAAGACTTTTACATTGTACTTGGATCAATTGGCTACATTACTTGGTCAGGCAAGATTACGAATAGTAAAATTGTATGGAAGTGACCCAGATAAAAATCACTGTTCCTTTACACAAGGAACAGGTTAGACAAGCCTTTATCAATTCTACTGCATGGCAGATTGGTCTTGCTGACTTTGTGGGAATTATTGACATTCATTACCCAAAAACAAAAATCTTCCAGTTTTTAAAATTGACTACTTGGATTTTACCTAAAATTACTAGACATAAACCTTTAGAAAATGCTCTGACGGTGCATTGGAAATGCACCCAGCAATGGAAACACGGCTTACATCAGGCCAAAAGAACGAGTCATTGAAATTCAATGTTTGGTTGCTGTCATTTCAGTGTTACAAGATTTTAATCAGCCTATTAACATTGTATCAGATTCTGCATATGTAGTATAGGCTACAAAGGATGTTGAGACAGCCCTAATCAAATATAGTATGATCAGTTAAACCAGCTGTTTAATTTGTTACAACAAACTGTAAGAAAAAGAAATTTCCCATTTTATATTACTCATGTTCGAGCACATACTAATTCACCAGGGCCTTTAAAGCAAATGAACAAGCTGACTTGCTGGTGTCACCTGCCTTCATGGAAGCACAAGAACTTCACGCCCTGACTCATGTAAATGCAACAGGACTAAAAAATAGATTTGATATCACATTAAAACAGGCAAAAAACATTGTACAACATTGCACTCAGTGTCAAGTCCTACACCTGCCCACTCAGGAGGCAGAAGTTAATCCCAGAGGTCTATGTCCTAATGTGCTAGGCAAATGCATGTCACACATGTACCTTCATTTGGAAAATTGTCATTTGTCCATGTGACAGTTGATACTTATTCACATTTTGTATGGGCAACCTGCCAGACAGGAGAAAGTACTTCCCATATTAAAAGACATTTATTATCTTGTTTTGCTGTCATGGGAGTTCCAGAAAAAATTAAAGCAGATAATGGGCCAGTATACTATAGTCAAACATTTCAAAAATTCTTAAATCTGTGGAAAATTACACATACAATAGGAATCGCTTATAATTCCCAAGGACAGGCCATAATTGAAAGAACTAACAGAACACTCAAAGGTCAATTGGTTAAATGAAAAAAGGAAAAAGACAGCAGGGAGTATAACACTCCCCAGATGCAACTTAATCCAGCACTCTATATTTTAAATTTTTTAAACATTTATAGAAATCAGACCACTACTTCTGCAGAACATTTTACTGGTAAAAAGAACAGCCCACATGAAGGAAAACTGATTTGGTGGAAAGACATCAAAAATAAGACATGGGAAATAGGGAAGGTGATAACATGGGGGAGAGGCTTTGCTTGTGTTTCACCAGGAGAAAATCAGCTTCCTGTTTGGATGCCCACTAGACATTCGAAGTTCTACAATGAACCCATCGGAGATGCAAAGAAAAGTGCCTCCGCGGAGACAGAAAACCCGCAATAGAGCATCATCAACTCGCCAGGTGAACAAAATGGTGATATCAGAAGAACAAATGAAGTTGCCATCCACCAAGGAAGTGGAGCCGCCGACCTGGGGCCAACTAAAGAAGCTGACACAGTTAGCTGAAAAAAGCCTGAAGAAAACAAGGGTCACACACACTCCAGAGAACATGCTGCTGGCAGCTTTGATGATTGTATCAATGGTGGTAAGTCTGCCTGTGACTGCCAGAGCAGCTGCAGCTAATTACACTTACTGGGCCTATGTGCCTTTCCCGCCCTTAATTCAGGCAGTCACTTGGATGGATAATCCTATTGAAGTATATGTTAATAATAGTGCATGGGCACCAGGCCCCACAGGTGATCGTGGCCCTGCCCAACCTGAAGAAGAAGGAATGATGATGAATATTTCTATTGGGTATTATTATCCTCTTATTTGCCTAGAGAAGGTACCAGGATATTTAATGCCTACAACCCAGAATTGGTTGGTAGAAGCACCTACTGTCAGTGCCACCAGTAGATTTACTTATCACATGGTAAGTGGAATGTCACTCGGGCCACAGATAAATAATTTACAGGATTCTTCTTATCAAAGATCATTAAAAATTAGGCCTAAGGGGAAGCCTTGTCCCAAGGAAATTCCCAAAGGATCAAAAGGCCCAGAAGTCTTAGTTTGGGAAGAATGTGTGGCTGATACTGCGGTGGTATTACAAAACAATGAATTTGGAACTATTATGGACCGGGCCCCTCGAGGCCAATTATATTATGATTGTATGGGCCAGACCCACTCATGTTCACAGGCCCCATCTGTCTGGCCCACTAATCAGGACTATGATAGTGATTTAACTGAAAGGCTGGACCAGGTTTATAGAAGGTTAGAATCACCCTATCCATGGAAATGGAGTGAAAAGGGAATCTCATCACCTCGACCAAAGTTAGTTAGTCCTGTTACTGGTCCTGAACATCCAGAATTATGGAAGTTTACTGTGGCCTCGCACCACATTAGAATTTGGTCTGGAAATCAAGCTATAGGAACAAGAGATCCTAAGCCATATTATACTATTAACCTAAATTCCAATCTGACAATTCCTTTGCAAGGTTGTGTAAAACCTCCGTATATGTTAGCTGTAGGAAACATAGTTATTAAACCAGATTCCCAAACTATAACCTGTGAAAACTGTAGATTGTTTACTTGCATTGATTCGACTTTTGATTGGCAGCACCGTATTCTACTAGTGAGGGCAAGAGAGGGCGTGTGGATCCCTGTGTCCATGGACTGACCGTGGGAGAGGCTTCCCCATCCGTCCATATTTTAACGGAAGTATTAAAAGGAGTTCTAACTAGATCCAAAAGATTCATTTTTACTTTGATTGCAGTGATTATGGGTCTTATTGCAGTCACAGCTACTGCTGCGGCTGCTGGAATTGCTTTACACTGCTGTGTTCAAACTGCAGAATATGTAAATAATTGGCAAAAGAATTCCTCAAAATTGTGGAATTTTCAGACCCAAATAGATCAAAAATTGGCAAACCAAATTAATGATCTTAGACCAGCTGTCATTTGGATGGGAGAAGGCTCATGGGCTTGGAATGTCATTTTCAGTTACAGTGTGACTGGAACACGTCGGATTTTTGTATTATACCCCAAGCCTATAATGAGTCTGAGCATCACTGGGACATGGTTAGACACCATCTACAAGGAAGAAAAGATAATCTTACTTTAGGTATTTCAAAATTAAAAAAAGAAATTTTTGAGGCATCTAAAGCCCATTTAAATCTGGTGCCAGAAACTGAGGCAATTATGAAAGCTGCTAATGGCCTCGCAAATCTTAATGCGGTCACGTGGGTTAAAACTATCGGAAGTTCCACTATTATAAATTTCATATTAATCATTGTATGCCTGTTCCGTCTGTTGTTAGTCTGCCAGTGTATCCAGCAGCTCCGAAGAGACAGCGACCAGTGAGAACGGGCCATGATGACGATGGTGGTTTTGTCAAAAAGAAAAGGGGGATATGTAGGGAAAAGAAAGAGCGATCAGACTGTGATTGTGTCTATGTAGAAAAGGAAGACATAAGAAACTCCGTTTGACCTTTACCCTGAACAATTGCTTTGCCCTGAGATGCTGTTAATCTGTAACTTTGCCCCAACCTTGAGCTCACAGAAACCTGTGTTGTATGGAATCAAGGTTTAAGGGATCTAGGGCTGTGCCTTGTTAACAAAATGTTTACAGGCAGTATGCTTGGTAAAAGTCCTCGCCATTCTCCAGTCTGGATAAACCAGGGGCACAATGCACTGTGAAAAGCCGCAGGGACCTCTGCCCTGGAAAGCCAGGTGTTGTCCAAGGTTTTTCCCCATGTGATAGCCTGAGATATGGCTTCATGGGATGGGAAAGACCTGACCGTCCCCCAGTCCGACACCCATGAAGGGTCTGTGTGAGGAGGATTAGTAAAAGAGGAAAGCCTGTTGCAGTTGAGATAGAGGAAGGCCACTGTCTCCTGCCTGACCCTGGGAATGGAATGTCTCGGTATAAAATCCGATTGTACATTTGTTCTATTCCGAGATAGGAGAAAAACCGCCCTATGGCAGGAGGTGAGACATGTTGGCAGCAATGCTGCTTTGTTATGCTTTACTCCACTGAGATGTTTGGGTGGAGAGAAGCATAAATCTGGCCTATGTGCACATCCAAGCATAGTACCTTCCCTTGAACTTATTTGTGACACAGATTCCTTTGCTCGCATGTTTCCTTGCTGACCTTCTCCCTACTATCACCCTGCTCTCCTTCCGCATTCCTCTTGCTGAGAGTGAAAATACTAATCAATAAATACTGAGGGAACTCAGAGACCCGTGCTGGTGCGGTCCCCTGGGCCCACTGTTCTTTCTCTATACTTTGTTTCTGTGTCTTATTTCTTTTCTCAGTCTCTTGTCTCACCTGACGAGATATACCCACAGGTGTGGAGGGGCTGGCCCCCTTCAACATCAGGTGGCAAAAAGGTGAGTGGCAGGCTGGTCTCTGGCCCTTGAGGATGTCTTAGTCTGGTAAGGACTTGAGAGAGGTGAGCCATGGGTCTCACCCAAGCCCCCTCCTCGATCCATCTCCCTCCATAGAAATGGTGCACTGCCTTAGTCTTGAGCCCCCACACTACACAGCAGGGCTGGCAGCACAAACGTGCAGTGAGAGGAGGGACGAAGCAAACAACTCCTGAGGAGGGGCAAGGTCCAAGATCTGGAACACCTGCCTGGGGTATTGTCTCCTCGCCATCCACCCCAGGGTTCTCCCAGCCCTTTGATGGAAAGTTTGTTTGCTGTCTGCGTTTAGCATGACTTAGCTCAGCAAGGTTCCATCCCCTTTTCCCGTTCACCCTGAGAAGACTTGCTGGTGGCACTTGCGGCTGCAGCATTTACTCCCAGATAACACACAAGGTGTGGTATAAGAAATCCTTTCACCACCCTCTAACCATTACAGCTCTGAACTCCTACAACCTGTTCAAGAAGGACAACCCTAGCACATGATTAGCCATGTAAATTTCAGACTCACGTTGATTGAAAGAATGCTGGAAAAGCACCACGGCCGGGGCGGCAACGTCTTCGAGGTCGCCTGTGCTCTGATGGTGTCACACCCCTTGGCCTATCCAGAAGTTTTTTTTTGGTTTTTTGTTTTTTTTTTTTTTTTTTGTTTGTTTGTTTGTTTGCTTTTAATACATTCCTCAAACACTTATTGGGCACCTACTATGTGTCAGGCACTGTTCTAGGTACCTGGGACACATCAGGGATTCTTGCTGTCCTGAGGTCAGAGATGAGGAATTCCATGGGATGAGTCTTCTGTTCTTAAACCCAGTGTAAAGACGAGGCCGTCAGGGAGGAGGGAGTAAGATCTGGGCATCGGAGCCCCCCAGCTGCTGCTCATGGGGGTGAGGACACCAGGCCCCTGACTGTGCTCTGGCCTCTGTCTCCCAGCTCCCTGCCCAGGCCCACAGCTATGGCCATGGCCCAGGAGCTCAGCCACCTCCTGCCCAGTCTGCAGCAGGCCATCCAGGAGCCTCAGCCATCTCTGCAGCCCGAGCCTGTCTTCACCATGGACAGAGCCAAGGTACCGCCGCTTTTCTGGAAGCTGTACATCTACGCGGGCTACCGGCCACTGCATCGGACCTGGCGCTTCTACTTCCGCATGCGGTTCAGCTGCTGCTGCTGCGGCTGGCCCTCCTTGTGGGGACCATGGACTTCTGGGGAGACCCACACGCCCTGCCCCTCTTCATCACTGTCCTCGCCTCTTTCACCCACCTCTCCTTCAGTGCCTTGGCTCACCTCCTGCAGGCCAAGTCCGAGTTTTCAAAAAAATACATCGAGCGGACTATTTAAGATTTTTGCATTACGTGTAGTAAGGTTGTCACATTTCAACAACAAAAAAAAAAAATTAGAAAACTAGAAGCAGAGGTTTCAGTTTTCATTATTGTTTTGACAAACTGGTGGCACTCCCCGTCAGGTATGTACTCAGTAATGAATTAAATTAGAAATACATTATATATTTTTTTCTAGTGAGAATCTGATACACAGATATGCACACATTTTTTTTTTTAGACGGAGTTTCCCTCTTGTTGCCCAGGCTGGAGTGCAGTGGGGAGATCTCAGCTCACAGCAACCTCCGCGTCCCGGGTTCAAGCGATTCTCCTGCTTCAGCCTCCGGAGTAGCTGAGATTACAGGTGTGCGCCATCATTCCCGGCTAATTTTACATTTTTAGTAGAGATAGGGTTTCTTCATGTTGCTCAGGCTGATCTCAAACTCCACAGGCAGAGGAAGTGAGAAGGAGCTGAGAGATGGAACTAAGAGACAAACATTTGCAGCTCCCAGCCTGATTCTGCTCTGTGCCAGCGCCTGCAATGGGCATTGTGGGGGTGTTAGCCGAGGCCAGCTGGGCAGCTCCCTGCCCCACCTTCAGGAGCCAATGATGGAGCATTCTAGAGCCTTCTCAGAGAACTGTGGCCGTGGGGAGCGGAATGTACTAGGCACCGAAAGGGAGGTAGCCAACCCCAGGGGTCTGAGCTTCCAAAGGCTCTCTCTTGGGGTGTAGGGCAGTGCAGTGAGGGAAGGCCTGGCTACTTCCTTTACTACATCTACAGAAGGAGAGATGATCAGAAAAGGCCAGAAGAGTAAGACATGTTCCAAGTACCCCATCTCCACTGGCAAAGCACTTGAAGACCCTTCCTTGTCCTCTCAGATAATTTTGATCCTCTAGTCTTTAAAATAGGAGTTACAATCTCCATTTTAAAATAGAAACTGAGGCCGGGCACAGTGGCTCACGCCTGTAATCCTAGCACTTTGGGGAGGTTGAGGCAGGTGGATCACTTGAGGTCAGGAGTTTGAGACCAGCCTGGCCAACCTGGTGAAACTCCGTCTCTACTAAAAATACCACACACACACACACACACACACACACACCCCTTAGCTGGGTATGGTGGCACATGCCTGTTATTTCAGCTGCTTGGGAGGCTGAGGCATGAGAATCACCTGAACCTAGGAGGTGGAGGTTGCAGTGAGCCAACATCACGCCACTGCACTCCAGACTGGGCAAAAGAGCGATACTCTGTCTCAAAATAATAAGCTACAATAAAATAGAAACTGAGGCCCAGAGAGGTAATGAGCTTAGCCAGAAGACACAGCCAATGAAGAGTATCACACAGAAGCTGTGTCTCCCAGCTCCTTGCCCAGTTGTGTGGAGACCCTTGGTTTATGCTGGAGGTGGCAGAATTTGGGGGGTTCTGACCCCCTCTCTCCCCAGTAGGCAGCTGCACGTGGCCAGGCACAGCTCCAGCCCCATGGTGGCTGGTGGGCAAGCGGAGGCTCTTTGGAACACGTGTTTCCACTTCACTGGAGATGGGAACTAATAGCAGAAAATCCTGTGAAGCTGCTAATGGGATAATGGAGAAAGTGTTTATTTTTCGAAGGAGGCCTGTGAGGATCTGGGGCAGGCCCAGTGTGAGGCCACGGAGGCAGGAGGTCAGTCCACTGTTAACAGGGATTAAGCAGACACCGTGGAATGAGGGGGTTTCCAGAGCAGAGGCTGAAGGCAGGGCCTGGTCTGGTGCTCTCAACATCTGCTCTCCCTTGGGACAGTAAAGCTGGACCCGAGGACTCCAATCACTTCTAGGTAGGGGGCTCCATGCTCCACGCTTTCCTCTACATCTGCTTCCTTCTATCCCGCCCAAGGTGCAGGCGCCTGGGGCAGGGCGGGGCGGGGGGAGGGTCATCACATGGGTCTCCTGTCCCCAGGCAGTGTGACCCCTTCAGCTTCCTGAGGGATGTCTGGGTAGCTGCCTCCCCCCATGCACAACTCTGGGAGGGAGGTGGTTCATATTGCACCTTCGCCTGGAACCACAACCACCCCCGGGGAGCTAGTTCTTCTTGAGAAATGTCTTCATGAGCAAGGCACAGTGGGTCTGCCCTCCCCTGTCCCCATTAGGTAGCCAGCTGTCTCTCCAGCAGATAGCACTGCCCTTGGACCTCCCAGCCCTAGCCCACTTGGAAGCTCCTATTAAGCTTGAGGGCAAGAAGTCCCTTAGCAGTCCGCAGTGCGGTGGCTCTCAGGCTGTGGGTGTGGGAGAGGCACTCAGGGGCATAGGGGAGGCCAAGCTGGCAGGACCCCAGGCTCCCCTGCTCCAGTCAGAGCAGTCCCGCCTTGTTTTACATATTGACATTCCTCACATTTCTCTCCAAACACTAAAGTTTCTACTTCTTAAAAAATAAAAATAGGCCAGGCGTGGTGGTGCACGCCTGTAATCCCAGAACTTTGGGAGGCTGAGACAGGTGGATCACCTGAGGTCAGGAGTTCAAGACCAGCCTGGCCAACATGGTAAAACCCCATCTCTACTAAAAACACAAAAATTAGCTAGGCATGGTGGCGCACACCTGTAATCACAGCTACTTGGGAGGCTAAGGCAGGAGCATCCCTTGAACCTGGGAGGTGGAGGTTGCAGTGAGCCAAGATCGTACCACTGCACTCTAGCTGGGTGACAAGAGTGAAACTCTGTCTCAAAAAAATAATAATGATAAAAAATAAAAAGCATTTAAAAATCTTTGCTCTTTCCCACTCTATGGAGGTGAAATAACTCAGGACTCAGAGAGATGGGACTTGCCAAGGTCACGCAGAGCTGGAATCTGGCTGCAAGTCACTGGCCTCCTGGCCAGAGGTGGTCCCACCACCTTCTGCTTAGAGTAACCAGTGAGACTTCAGGAAAACCAGAGAGAGGCTAGAAATGGTCCTTTAGGAAGTAGAGAGGTGGGAAGAATTTGGTTGGTGTTCCCGGAGCCCCTGGAAAGTTGTTTCATCTCTCCGGGCCCTGTATAAGGCCTGCATGGGAGAGATGGCATTGAACATTGAGGATGAGGGCAGTGAGGATGGCAGGGACCTGTGTGCAGTTGGGCTGGAGGGCCCCTGCCTTTGAGGCTGACCCAGGCTGCAGATGAGGTCCTTCCTCCCTGCAGGGCAGCCCTGCTGGAGGCCTCTTCTTTCTGGCCTGCCCAATAGTGAGTAGCCCTGGCCCAGGCTGCAGGGTCCTTTGTTTGTCCAGGCCAGCCTGGGTGTCTTCTCTCAACCCAGCCCAGGAAGGCTAAGGGTCTGGAAACCCCCACCCTGTCTGCTTCTTCCAGTGTGCCTGGTAGGTATTCCAGGATTCCCGATGCACCTGCCATGCTCGAGGGTTGCCTGGCTGCTCATAAGTTGAAAGCTCACCCTTGGTTACCAGTGCCTCTCCACTAGGAGAGCTCTTAAGTTTCAGATCAGAGGCAGGCCCTCTTTGCCAAGCCCTGTTCACTACAATTACATTGTATTTCCTTGGGAACATG